CACTATTTCCTGTCTGCTGATGACAGCCGCTCAAAGAGCATTTTTGGGATTTTCCTTGAGATTATCTTCCAACAGATCTCCCACTTCTGTTGCTACATCGTTAAAGAGGCTGGACAAAATAGGAAAACGGGTGGCTTTGGAAGTGATGCATCGGGCAGCTAAAACAGCCTTGACCTGGTGAAACCACACCTTGGGATTGCATGGATTATAGTCCGGTAAGCGGATGATGAATGCATTTTCGACCATATCTCATGAATCGGAGTTTTTTCCATACTAACCCGGCAAGAGAAAAAGCTGCCTTGAAAAAAGTTTATAAAATTTATCCAGGAGGACTTGGGCTCACCAAATTTGTAGTGTTCTGGCTACTCAACGAGTACTTCACCAAGAGTGTGCGGCAAAGAAATAAAAATAATCATGCTACATTGAGTGTACAATAGGTCAGATGGAACAGATTCACGGAGAACTGTTCTCTTTAAAATATTTCGTCGTTGGCCCAGGTTATCGAATAAACAATAATCCAATCATGGTCGTTTATGGGTCCTCTCTGAACAGTTCTCACATATGATTGGTTCCGGAGACAGTCTGAGGTGTTGTGATACCAGAGTTAGCACATGAGACTCGCGAATAACCGCTGTAGCGCGAGCGAAATCAGAAGTGACAGTCAAAGCATGTGACCACGTTTGTGTTGAGTGAAATTGTACGAGTGCACGTTTTCGTGGTTTTCCGTATTCAAACAAAAAACGGCTATGCAATTCACAAAGTACGTACTGTTATAATGGAAGCAAAAGAAAGATACAAATCTCCACAGAAGTCTTTGGAAATGTTTCCAGTTCAAAGTCAGGTCGACCCAGACGATAGACTTATCCGAAACACGGGTGAATCTTTTGTCCATAATGTTGCTGGCACTGGATCGTCCGAAACGCATATGGGTAGGCTATTTTTCAATGATCATGTTTAGTTGGGTGGACTGTATTGGTTGTAAAGTACTGAGCGTTACATTCGGTAGATTCTGAGGTGTCCTGCAAAATGCTGAGGGGCTACCATGAATTTCATATGGGTGAAATTTGAATACAGTGACTGAAATTCGTCTGTCAAATGAAAACTTAGATTCAGCTTTTTCTTGAATGTATAATGGCTCATCAGTCGATTCGCAGGGCACCTCAGAACCAGCCGAATGGAGCGTTCAGTCCGCCCAACTAAACGTGATCACTGGAAAATAGTTAACTCTTGGAGATTTCGGACGGTCCAGTACCCGCAACATTAAAAACAAAAAATTCACCCGTTGTTCGGATGGGTCTATCGTCTTGGTCAGTGTGGTTTTGAACTGAAAACATTTCCGTAGTCCTCGTTCGATGACAAGTGGGATTGGCTATTTTCCCCACGTTTTCGACCAATCAGGTCTTGGCCCGGACTGCTTTCCGGCTGGATATCAGTCACTTACCGTTTTAGTTGGTTTATGTACAACCTTATCTACTGAGTTTCGGCTCATGAGCTTTCTCCCTATTTTCTATTCAGATGGATGTAGATACTCCAAAATTGATGTGGACACTGCGAAGCAGTGGTCACTGGATTGGCGCCGTCTGAACGACAACAAGTGCGTCCATACGTCATTCGGAGGAAACTCAGCGAACGCCCTCGTCGTTCATGGTGAGAACACCCTCGAAGACACTACGGAGGTAGATACTAAAACTAAGTTAGGTATCTGGCTCTCCTCAAACATATCCTTCTCACTTCACCATGCGAAATCTGCTCAAAAAGCATTCGTTTTTCTTCGGATGATTCGGCAGACATTCCTTCATATTACTTGCATGAACTTCCAGATACTCTATGGGGCCTTTTAGACCGCTTCTTGAATATGCCAACAAAGGTGTCCACTCAGGACGCAAGATGGACGTGGCCCTCGTTTAGCGTGTCCGACGGAGTGCTACGAAAATGGCTGCCGAACTCAACCCCGTTGATTATGAAACGCGTCTTAGTGTGCTTGACCTTTTTTCCCTATGTTACAGTCCTCTTCGAGAAGGCCTAGTACTTGTGCCCTGTGAGCACGCATCTCCAACGTCCTAATTGTCTGGCTGGGTTTTAAGAAGTGGTGATAGGAAGGCGCGCATTCTTGAAGACCATCGTCGTCATTGACAGGAATAACTGTCGTACGATCATGAGGTGCGAAAAAGGTTTGGCCAACAGAACTTTTACCGGTGAGGACATGGTAAGAAGACTTTCAAGTTCAGAGCACACACTTCTATTGGGCAACGATTCTTCTCACTTCATATAGTTGATGCATGAAATGCCTTCCTCCGGTCGGTTGCTCACGCTGCATCTAATATCTAGTTCAAAGCACTTTTTGGCGCCTTTTATGTGAGGTCTCGTGCTAGCAAGCTTACTGCCCGATGCGGCGCTACATTCTTTTCCCTTGTACCTTCCAAGAAAACTAAAGCTACTAAACAGCATAAGCAAACCCGATCGGGAAGTTTTAGCGAAAACCAATGTATGTACCAATTCTATGTACCAATCTGTGCATCTGTGAGAAAGCAACTATCATCAGAGAATCACTGTCCCCTTGTGCTTCAATAGCGTGCGTACTGCATACTTGGCGACCGCGACGGTTAACTACTTGATTAGCACTACCACAGTTTGTAGCTCGTTTTTCAAGGAACCCACTGCAGCGTACAGCGCCTGGGTGTTGGTGGTATACGACCTTGCTTCCTGGGTTTCGGCTCATAAGATTTCCTTTTTTCACCCATAGGTATTGGCATGAGCCCCTGTTTGTTTGTTACTATATTGACCACTAACTAGCTTTGGATATTTCTCTTGAGATGCGTTGACTGATTCTCTATCGCGCGATCAGTGTTTTGGTTGATTCTCCGTCTGCACTCTTAAGTCTAATTATTGTTAGTATTTCCTCACACTTGGACTTTATACCAGCCACTTGAGATTTCTATGCTCGCCCGTCATTCCAGAAAATTGCACCTTCGGTCGGTGACTTTCAAATGCACCTATTTTAATTGGCATGACCGGTAGATCCAATTCAGTCAACATAATCCACGGTTGATGGTGTGCCTTTCAGAGTGTGATGTTTTTCATTACCTGCCTGGCCTCATATATAATCCCCGTTGGACTTATTCGTTCTGATTGAGGCGATTTTTATGTGCTGAAGCGGAATTTCTTGATCAGTATCCGCATTTCATTTTTTTGGTGAAAGATGTTTGGGGACGAATTTATGCTGTTGATGATTTTTTCCACTGTGCTTGACCAAATTTTTTGCACGATTTCAGAATCAACTCTATTTCCTATATACATGGCTGTTGTCCGCCACATATGAAGCGTTGAATAAACAATAACAGGAGTCTTCATATCGTCACTGGGCCCCCCACTCTTACGATGCGTTGCACCCCCCCCCGAGAAGATCCCAAGCAATCTTAATTTTATCGATGATCTCTGATATTGCTTGGTGAAAGCACACTAATTTTCCAAGTTGCCCGCTCCATTAAGTCCATATACTAATAGAGTGAGAGGCAGCTGAAGGATGTTTCCGAAAATGTTGATAAATCGTACCAAATGGGTGCATTTCTCGTCGGGCCACAAAAACCTCCATTAAGGTGTTTTGGCCATTAAGGCCAAATAGTTAAGTGAACGTACTATTTTTAAGCAAGTTGAACTACTGTGAATTACCGTCAGATATATTGGCTGAGCCACGCGTATGCACTGTTTGATTAAATGCTTTCGTTTCAAGCTACCTGCTTCTGTGTCCCAAATTTCAGAACGTTGACGTTATCCCAGAATAACATCATCATCCACAAATGACATCCCAGAATAACACCAGCACAGAAAACCCCCATTTTTGAAGTTATCCATGCTTCGTTCCCGGGTTTTGATGCAAATTATAATGTCGTGCTAGCCAAGTGGGAGTCTTCTAAGTAAACAAAGCATGCAACAGACTTCTTCATACACCTCAAACTGTCAAAAACGTCCATGGACAGAAAGCGTGGGCGGCTGAAACCGGGTAAGGGCCTGAACATGGAGGGGAAGGCCTCAAACGTGGTCCACTTCCGACTTATTGTTGATCGCAAAACTCATAAAAACATTTTGTCCAGGAGTTTTGTTGGAGGAATTGAATGGAACTAAATGGAATTAAATTTAAACCCACACTGGGGCAAAGTTCATGCTAAACAGGTACGGCAATCTCATGTTTGACGCATGCGAGTAGGCACGGTATGATGGAACACTACATCCACGCGTTTGAAAAATTTAATGCGTCTCTATTGTTCCCGAGGAATTATTGGAGTTTGGGTAAAACTGTAGTTCATTATGGTTTTCACCGCAACAATTATGGAAAAATAATGCTTCAAGATCAGCCCTACCGTCTGGAGAGTTATCGGTGTCGTTCAAGTTCTATGCAAACCAACCCGTTTTTGCTGTTATCATGTCTGATAATAAAAATGGAGGTTACAAAAGAGTTTATCTACCGGGCCATACCTAAAACTTTGGTGAACAGGTGATGCATCTGGAAACAAACTTCAAGTTGATAAATGCTCCGCTAAATAAACCTGACCAGTATATGGTTAGACATCAGATAATTGCTCATAATAGCTTTAAGCAGATGAATTCACAAAGTCCCACTTATCAGGATCTAGTACTTCTTGCTTCAGAAAGAGTTTGGAACGGTTCGGCCTGTTTCCATCATAAACACTTATCTGTGGACTGCACGTAGTTATGTGAAGTAGTTATGGAAATCTTATTTCTCCCTTAGGTTAAGTAATGAAAAACCGCGCCAGTATTCTTTTGTTTATTCCCAGGATAACTTACCGATTATGGCTCTTTTGAATATAATTTAAACAAGCTTACTTGTGCTAACAAGTTATGGTCTAGTGGGTTCACTACGTTCAGTAGGTTACCTGAAAGAGGACGTCTGTCAGTAGTGTGCTGGTTCGAACGGGGTTATCGTTGAGAATTATCCGCTCCTAACAATCAGATAGGAAATGCAGGTCATTTCATAAATTTGTGTTCAATAGTTCTAGGAGTAAGCAGGCTGTAGTTACAAAATTGTCTGCTGGAAAGAAGGTGGCGAAATTTCCAATACTTTCGGTATTGAAAGATACCTTGACAAATTCAGGATTACGACAAACAAGTCGTATCCAATTACACACACGTTGGCAACTGAAAGAACCATACTAAAAAATCCCCAAAGATCACTTGCACTGAAAATCAAGATATATCAGAGCATAGGAAGCTGTTTTTTTCTTCGTTATCGTTGACAGAATGTGCTTTTAGGGGGATTGTTGCCAGAACAGAATTTCCTGTATCATCAGGTGACAATCCAGGCGTTCGGAAAACAGTTGTACAATCAATAAACTATTAAGCTGAATCACGCTTCTGTCTGTGCGTCAACGTTTTTTGTGTCCTGAGCGATTCCAGTAGTGGCTGGTAATTCGGATGGAGTCTCTTCCTCAATACGCAATTTCTCAGCGTAATAATCCCCTTCACTATGTGTGGCAGCGCAAGATCGCATGCCTAGTATCCTTTGGACGAATGTCCGAGGAGTTAGAAACATGGGCAAGTAAAGATCCACAGCAAGCTTCAGTGAGTCTTGCTTATAGGGTTCACTCATTTCAGGACGCCCACCTTCGTGAAACGCTCCTAAAAGCACGGCTAGGTTTTCCAGCATTTCTGCTTCACTTAGGGCTTCGCCTGAAAATGGGAAAGTCAAGAATAAGTGCATGTATTTCGAGGATATGGTGTGAACATGTTTTGTGACATGGAATATCTACACATTTGCGTCAAGCGGCTCCCTTCGACAACAACTTTTATGGGTCTCACTATGCCGCAAAAAAGTGCCTGTTGCTTCTCGAATACAAACCCACTTAACCAAGCCAACAGAGATAGCTACTGAGCTGAAAAACTAGTTAAGTGGAGGATCAAAAGTAATGAAGATGTGTCGGCTTATTTAGAGTTTAATCGTTATTTCAAATTCCACACAGCGAAATACCCAACTGCTTGCAAGAAAACAGCCATGAATTCTCCCCAATTCCCTAACCCGAATTCATTCACTTTACGATCTGTGACATTTTATAATTTTTTAAAGCAAATAACGATTCCGGTACACGTATACGCAGAAGAGTTTATTCAGTCCATGATCAACTGAGTACTCTCACCGATTTCCCGTTGAAGATATTGGTAAATTAGCGCTCTTTCTTGATGCATTACAAGTGCACTTTTTGACAGAAGCACTGACCCAGTCTCAAAAAGGACTAAGTTTGCTGAACGAAGCATCTCGTAGAAAATGTTGCCTCACATGAGCATCTGACACTTCAGATGTACAAGGAGGCTGACTGTAGCGAGGTTCTGTTAGAAGGATTGCCGGAGCGGTACAAAGAAAAATACCGATACCTCAAACGTCGACGAATGTGGCTCAAGTTGTATAATGGTAACTTCTCGTGGCAAAGAACGACGGTTGGTGGAAGAAACAGCCTTCCTCCTTAATCTCAATTACAGATTGTTCAGGAACTGCTCATGCGCGAAAAAAGATTACGTCAAGTCCGAAGTGTTACAGTGGGGGAATCCAAAAATTATTGTCAGCGGAGTTGGTATATAGTAAATGAATTTCAAACACTGTATGGCATGAAAATTGTACAAACAACGGAAAACCAACACAGTCAACAACGCATTCCCATAAGTTGATAAGATGTGTTGTTCTTGAAATCTCTATTTGGTTGCCAGGCTTGACTTACTCTCTCCTCTGTCGCTAGGACACCGGTAAATATATTGTCTGCTCCACGCGGCTTGGACAATGCTAACTTTAGTCAAGAGCACGTGCGTTAGAATAACAATGGTGGGTTGAGTTTGGGCCGTAGATTGGTCCGATTGACCGATTACTATCCAGTAGAGTGAGAGAATTCAAAACTGTATAGGAATGCAGAGATATTAATCTCTGACAACGCAGGCTGCCATATACCTGAATGTATAGTAAACGTCGCGGAAAAGAGCATTTCACGGGAACAAATATGTGCATTAAGTGAGAATAAAATTGCGCTGGTTCCCAGGAAGACACTAACAAATTTTGCAGTTGTGCTTTAAAGCTTTGTCCGATGAATAGTACACTGGTAGCGTATCCCTCAAGATAACTGGAATACGTCAGTTAGTCCCTCACGTGTTTCATCAATAATTTCACGGTTATCAAAAACTTCAAAATGTGTGGCAGTTTCACACAAAACATAAAGTAAAACTAAGCCAAATTTTACCAGCGTGGTCGAAAAGTATGACTGATTTACGTGCAACATCATTAATACAAAAAAGGTATCACAGCTAGCATACAATTTGGTAAGTAATTGGCATGGCTGATCTGATCAGCTAGACCTAAGTCCACCGTCGCAAATCTGCACGCACTGTCATTCTTCGAGAAATCTGGCCCTGGATTATAGGCGTTAAGTTCTCCGAATCCTTCTGGTCCGTCCGTTAAGAAAGACCTCAGTTATTCAGCTGACATCGGTTTACAGTTTGTACAAACCCCAACGGGTGATAGCGACTTTGTATGGTAAGCTCATATGGGTAGTTTAGGCAGACTAGGTTTAATCGCCTACATGCATTCCAGTTCAACACGAAATAGCAATGCACGGTTTGACATAAGCGACACCAAACAAATGTTCTTTGGGGCAGAATTATGTATCGGGAAAATTAGTGGTCGACCAGAATGACAGTTAATTAGCATATCTTCTTCAGCAGTATAGGCATTTTTACTGCTGTGTGTGCTTTCGGGCAATAACCTAGCTGGTTCAAGAAGCAGCAAGTGTCTTTACTGGTTCTCACAGGAGAAGGGGTTTCGTAAGAGGTGTGCTACAACTGATCGGAATTTTGCTTCATTTTATCATTTCCATTTAGGAGGGAAGAGTACTTTATTAGAAAAAGCAAACTTACGACAGAAATGAAATATGAATATCACCGTAAACATCGCATAGCTTTTATCATGTTGCAACGTTTCAGTGCACTCAATTTGTCAAGCCCCATAATTCGACTTACTAAACCATGTTCATTCCGACAGAACCTAAAAGTACCATAGGATAGGGGAGCAGCAGGTGACCAAGGTCGCTGGACACTTTCCCACGGGAAATCCAAGAAAATAATTGATAAATTACTGCTCAGCTGCAACACGTATTCGGTGCACAGTTGTCATGTCACCCAAATGATCTACCAGGTTTGAGGTACTGTCAAGTTGCCCAAGCTTAGGCAGAGGAAGTCGAGATGTCAAAGTTGTGTTCGAACCTTCTACCCAACAAGTTAGCGCCTTCATCTGAGCCATCCTGAGTTCTCAGAACAGATAATAAGTAAGGCTCTATCTTTTAAGAACACATGCCATACAGCGAGCCTAAAAATATCCCCTGCAATACTAATAGGTGTTTGTATGCGAGACGGTATCTAAAAATGGACTTAGAAAGTAGGTTTTCTTCCATAAAATGGCCTTTTTATGTCCCGAGGCAATAGGTTATGGTGGTCGAAAAAGGCTTACCAAAACTCTGCATATATCCGAACAAAAATTCCGGTGGAATCTTCGACATTTCTTGAACTGCTTCTCTGGGGTCACGGAAATATAAAGATTGTCCAGTGTCACTATCTTGCACGTGACACAGATGTTCAAATGCGTCACAGATTTCCTTATATGTTGTTCCGTGGTGCGGACGATGGTTGCAATATACTGAAACCGATAATGTGAACACAAAAAATTTGGCTGACTGATGGGAAACACGCCCAAAAAACGAGTTTAAAGGAAAACAAGAATAAGTAAAGTTCAGCCAAAATGCCAAATTTTTAGCAAGCTTATACACCTTCGCATGATACAAATTCTTGATGTATAGTGTTGAATTCTGTCTGGCTAAAATCATATAACCCTATGCCGAGAAACTGAGAATCATCGTTCTATTACGGTCCCACTGAATATGAAGGAAGCCCTGTCGAGTTTAAATTCTCCAATTACTTGACAGACGGTGGACACCATTTTTCGGGGTTGCCTTAGTCAATCAGTTCTGTAGAGCACAGGGGATGGAAATGTGAAATTCTCGGCGGAACATATTACTTATAAGGCTGCGAAAAACGACAGCCAACGACCGACTTAGCCTCTCATAAGTGAAAGATGAAGCTAAATTCATCGCAGTCTTTCGTTCAAATCAGATTGGTTCGGAACTGAGCGTATGATGCAAACTGCGCACTTTTGTTTAGATGGTATGGTCTTGAAACTCCACATGGACAAACAAAAACCGGGCGATGCTCATGACTTGATGTTTTGTGGGCAGTTTGGCTTATTAACGGTATATATAACTCTTGATATTGTGCGCGGCCGCCTCAAGAAAGGTCGTGGTTCCTTCCTGTCTTCGTAGTTTGTGTTAGGGGATAAGTGTATTAAGCTTTTGAATGTAGCGCTTGCTTTAATTTAGGTTAGTTGGTTGCTGGCAGCTTTGTGTGTGTCTTTGATTTCATCACTTTATCAGGAATGCTGGATTAAGGGTAATCTAGTGCTTCCTGAGTGCAAATGATGATCCCAATGATCCTAATAAAAACTGTTGCTTTTCTTCTGTTGATTTCACTTTACATGACCAAATCACGTGGGGAAACTGCCACAAGAAAAAAAACGGGAAACTTAACGAGCCCGGATTGTAATTTTCCAGCCTTTTCAAAAACCTTCCACGATGAACGTGAGTAGTTATGAAGTGTTGCGTGGTGTCCACCCAGTTATTAATCAAATACTCGTACGGTTCCAACTCCAAGTGTCATCTCATTAACACAGTTTGTGTGTCTGTTGATTGATTTGTTTATATGTATTAATCAAATACTCGTACGGTTCCAACTCCAAGTGTCATCTCATTAACACAGTTTGTGTGTCTGTCAGTTTGATTGATTTATATGTAAGTATTAGTGATGTACAAACTTGTTTACTGGGCTTCGGCTTGCCAGTCTTTATTCGTTCTACATCCACAGAAATGATCGTGAACACCTGCCTTCGGGGGATCACTGTCCCCTGGTGCACACTACATTTCTATCCTGATGTCAACTAAAATTTTGATGGTTAAAATTTCGCCCCCTGGTAATATAAAGTTGTTATTGCTATACATTTGCTCGAGGCGTGGCCTATTTAAGGACAAAGGTCGGAGGGTCAGAACCTATCAAATGAGGTACAGTGTTTGCAAGCCAACGGTATAAGTTTGTCAACAGTCGAGCTGATTATTTCCCCTCAGATATCACTTCACAATAGAGTGCAGTGACAGTATTTCATCTTCGGAATGGATAAGCGTCCAGGGAAGAAAATAGGGGGATTCGATTCCTCTGCCAAGGCCAGCCCACAAACCCCTGCCAAGTTTTTCACCCTCCTTTAATAGAACTCAAAGTTTTGTGTGTAGTTTGTGGCCCGTGCTACATACACCGGATGAAAATTGCCGATAACTGACCTTCTAGTGCTTAGAAAATAACCCAAGTTAGCATTCCTCCGATTGTGCACTGGATTGATTAAATGTCATTCGCCAAGCATAGCATACAGAGGATGTGGTTTTAGGAAACTGTGGACATGAGTTCCTCAGTGGATTAACGTAACTATTCGGCAGTAAGATAAAATACAAACAACATAATTTTTATCATCCAGGTTTAAAAATCGAGTTTGACTTGAACTAGCAATTTCGTGGAGCGCAATAAGAATGTAATATGCTATATATTGAATGAGAGGGTATTTCAGGGAAGGCATTTCCTAAATAAAGTTTAACTCCACTCAATACAAGAAAACCTTATGTTCCACTCCGTTTTTGGATAAATGAAAATCGCATACCGTTTATCCTAGCCAGGGAACCCAGTCTTTGTAGAGGATTACATAATTCATTTCATCAAAGTATTTTTAACGGCTAATTTATCATGTGGACGGAGACGTACAAGTCACATAGTTCCCTGGAGAAAGATTCTTGCGTTTAATTAACAGATTGAAGAGTTTGTACAACCTGAATTTCACAGGAGCGATTAAAATTCCGGATAAAATAGATTTACGTATGCTAGGAAGTAAAGCGGTTGACTTCCGTCAGCTAAATCTCTGCCGTACAACAAAGAAACTCAAGCGACTGGATCGCGATGTTAGTGAGAAGGGAACTGACCAAAAAGAAACGGCTGTACACCATTTTTGCACAGAATGCTTTCATTCAGGAAGGCATCGAGAAATGGGTCAGTAAAATATCAGACTTCACATTTTCAGAGTCTCCGTTTCCAGCATATTGTGGCAGCTCAAACGCCCAAAGAGGTACTGCGTTGGACACTTACACCTATACTGTTAATGCAATGCTGCAATTAAATATTGAGCCAGTGGGTCCCACTCGTTTGTGCTAGGTCTTTATTGGGGTAACAGGTGACAAACTTTTCCACCATGTGTCTTCTCCGGTAAAGAAACGATAAAGTAATTTGTCTAAACAAGTGTTGTTGTATAGAAACAACCAGATTGCAGTAATAGTCCCTTGAGGACTTAACTTGACATCGGAATAACTCACGCTATATTCATCATCACCATTCAAGGTTGTTTCCACAGCAATTCGAAATTCATGGTTCTTTTTGAATTTTATTATCGTAACGCTGGGTATTTGCTGCAACTGTCATTGTAACGCATCTCTCTCTCTCGAAGAGAATCCGTAGATTCCTTTTTTCCTGACACTGAGCCTAACGACTCTAAAATGCCAAATCGTGACTATACATTCAACCGCTGTTGTGTTCTTTCTAAAAGAGAAAACACTGATTCTATCGAATTTGCTGCTTCCTGAAACACACTTTAGAGATTACAGGTGGCCCCACTTTCTGGTGACTGTTCATCACAGGTGAAAGGTAAACATAATCTTTTTAAGACCTGACCAGGCAACTCTCACTGGCACACAGGCTGTGTCGCGCAATTCAGGGGCAGTCAGTTGGACGATTTTGCTTGAAAAAAGCATCAAAGACACCCATTTCCCAAACAATTCTTATTTCTCTTTCGCTTTATGTGGGTTGAATCAAAGTAATTCAGATGATTCCAAATCCACGTCTTTACTGAATTCTCGGTACTGCCGTAGTGCAAAATAAAATTTTTAGAATCCCAACTACTGTTGCGTAGCATGGCATAGAATGGATTTTATGTAGGCTAGCATAGGTATAAAACCACCGACTGTTGACCAAACCCTTCTAAAACCAGGATTATATTTTGGTCTCTCTTAGAGCGGTTGGAGTTCGGTCATCAAACTGACTGCATGCATTCTGACAATAAACTATGAATGCTGGAAGACTTTTATCGACAGAATACACCTATTAGATAAGGACGCAAAGGATGCCGAGAGTCTGCAGCTACCAACTAACAAAAGAGCTTTGTTTAGAAGACTTACTTTGTATGAATGTGTCCAAATCAACCTCATCTGTGTAGAAACCGGTTTCAGCAAATTTAGAGTACTTCACTTCGTTGATGATGTTATCTATCTACGGGGGAGAATCAAACGAAGACTAGGTTTATGTATTTTGCAAAATAAGAGCAACCAAAATCTCGTGTAAGTTTGACGCGGACACACTTGTATCGTAGTTTGATGGCTTATAACGAGCAAAAGGCTTTATAAAGACCTCAATGAACCGCGTGCCTTATTTTTGGCAACATCTGGCTTTGCTAAAACTCTCCTACAGTCACCAAAATTTGTTTCCAAAATTCCATTTGAGCTGACCGTTTGTGGATTACCATTGAACCTTTCCCTAACTCCTCATCTCTTTCAACAAAACTTTGACCAGCAACAACAATCAGGATAGTCATGCCCAAATGATTACCTCACGAAGTGAAAGAAGCAACCAAATTATCTTGATACAACACTACACCTGAAGTTAATGCGAACCCTTCATCTGCTCACTATCAGTTCTAGTTTTCTTGGAGCTAGCGAGACAAATGTAGCCACAGAATCCCCCTTTCCTAGTTGAAAAATTAAGTGGATTTACGAAATTACCTTAAACTTCAGTGGATATACACGAGAAACTTATTTGGATATTGACTGGATCCAGCTGGTCGAGTTGACATTCGAAGCACTCAAATATTTTCCTTGGCATATCAAGAAGGGGACGATCATCACAGCAAGATTCCTAAAACTTACATCGTCTTCAGATGGGTAGTAACCGATAGCTCGCATGACAAACGAGATTTCAGAGATGGGAATTGTAAACGATGTTCGACGTGTGTCCATGCACCTCAGACCTTGTGTACGCAACATTGAGTAGTAAAAGTAATCTTTGAGTTCGTCCAAGAATTCCGGAGTCAAGAGGTCGTAGAAGCGTCGCTTCACTTCGCATGAGTTTTTGACGCGATCTTCCAGTATTCTGAGAAAAATAGGCGCACATTCAATAAATGTGATGTTTAAAATGGATAAAGTTTGGCAACTAGCACCACAAAGTACCCGTTACGTTCAACCATAAAGATATCATTTTTTTAGTCACCAAGGATGCTTTATGATCCTTGGTAGTTGTCGCTTTGAGGTAATGAACCAAATAGTTGCGCCGCCTTGTTACTCTGTTTGGCTGTTTTTATTGCTGCGTATTCCCACGGAACCTTCAGTTCTTTTCGATTAATTTACGTCTTTCTGAAACAGTTATTTTGTTGATTTTGCCAGGTTAATGGATGTGTTTACGAAAAAGGTGAGCCAACCAGGATGCACATTAGACTGATTTTATTTAGCCTTCCTTCTGCCGGGACACTCAAACATGTGAATGGCCTCCATTTTGGTTATGGTACAGAATCTAAAGCGATTATCTGCATGTGACAACTCCAATGATTTTGTTGCAGAGCACCCTGCTTCTTTTGCAGGTCGCCAACTCGAATTTCTGATGCATTCGAAGGATATGGCCATATGCAAATTTACTATGTCCCTTGTGGCGCTGTATATGTGTACATGACTGCCTAAACATGTAAACATCTATTGTATGATCGCTTTTGCGACATGTGGCTGAGCTATCAATGTCATTCTCTACGATAAACGAGCAAGTCAACGGTTATATCCGTCAGATAGCAAAAACGCCATTCGCACCTAAACAATAACTTAGTCACGTGTGAGGCGCCCGATCAGTCTTATTGGTCAAGTCTGTCGTGTCATGTTCTCGAATGAAAACTTAGTGAGAGTTAGCCGTTCGGAAGGGGACAAACCAGATTCCGACAGAAGGGAATAGCACTTGTTGCAAAGGACAAATGCCGTCAACGTCTGTGCCAACACCAGCTCATCATGTCCTACTACAGATGCTTATTCACACATTTTGAAGTATTTTTTTTTACCGCGCTCGCTTAATCTATTTGGAAGTCCAGAGATTCAAACAGCACATAGCTGGTTCACCACCAGGATTTGCTGGTATCGGTCGAGTACGATGACACCAGGGAGAAGTCTTGTCAGATTGGGTATACAGACAAAAGTTCGTTGAGTCCCGGGACGGAAAGTTACGTACTTTAGATTTAGTTATTTTGCCAAGACTTCGTTCGTTCCATCTTTTTCATCCCTGACAAGAAGTTTGTCATAAGTTTATAATAAGGAAGACACTGATCCGAAAATAGTTGATTATTGAGATGGTTTCGTTTTGCGTGTAGTCCCCTACAAAGCAATACTTAATAATCCGAAGTTTTTTCAAGAACATCATAACGTAAGATGAGATTTTTAAGAGGACTTCACAAGGTAATTTTCATAAGAAGTCGGTTGGATAGGTTCACAACTTCCACATACAGTTCGTCATTTCCTCCTGGTTTTATCACAATGTTTATTCGACAACTTAGGTGGCTGGATTCAAGCACCACGCAAATGCCCAGTACGATGGTTATGTTCTTGGTGAACAGTGGTATTATGCGATAGCGTGAATGAAATCGTGGCGACTCAGATTTCTCCTTATGAACTAACTTATGCTGTTACTTACTGGTATAGTAACGTACTTTGGCTGTTTAACCACACCTAACAAGGTGTTTACTCTTCAGTGCGATTTCTTCAAGCTTACCTCAGAGTCAGCAGATTGCGAGTAGCACCATTGTTCGGTTCTGTCCAAGGTGCTTGTGAATTACCCACCAGGTGTAGGCACTCACCGATTTATTCACTCCTGACGGGCAACTAGGTTTATCCTCGTAAAGGGCCTCATTAAAATGTTGATTCGTATGCTATCTGTTGAGACACACCCCTTTCCCTTGATAATCACTTAAGCAAACTCAATGCCGAAATCTGGCAGGATTTCACTAACTGGCCATATGGTTAATGTCGGAGCAGCAAAAGGTGCGTAAAATACACACAAAGAGCTAGATGTCCTTGTACGTTTCTTTCGTTCGCTTACACCTCTTCAGTGTTCAGGTTGGAAGGGATTGGAGAGATTAGAGTAAACGTTTCAGGAATTCCAATTACCGGATAGTAGGGCCCATATAGGGCACTAGGATAATCCAGTGCATGGTAAACAAACTAGAGACGCGAAGAAAAAACGTCAGGACCGAATCCGTTTGCACATCGTAGTGTTACTAAGCTACTGATAAGCTAGACCACTGAACATTACGTAAGTGGATCAAACCGAATCACGGAATTATTCGAGATGAATTCTTTTGTTATTGATATCACTCACTCAGGTTTCATATGCCTTGTTTTGTTTTGCCTGAAGCAATCCTAGAGTTTTCCCTAGTGGAAATCTGACCATCTGCAAAAAATTAATGAACTGTAAAATACATTAACTAGGTTGGAAAGACTTGCAAGTGTGTTCCTAAACATACTTCCATTTCTTCCACGCTTCCATTTCTCTGATCATGAACAGCTACATTCCCTCGACGCAATAAAATGTTTTCCTTGACCGCTGTTGTATACAGACATAAAAAGCGCACTTAAAAGGCATCGAATCAGATTGTTCCCTTGTTCTCAGCTTTATTGGCGCCCAACCCTTTGGAACGATACTTCGGAGGGTTCACTGCTGACAAAAAGTGATCGTCTGTCCAGCTACGAACTAATGAAAAAATACGTTTGAATGTTCTTGATGCAGGGGAGAGGTACGCGGAAAAATATTTGATAGACAGCTCGGTAGACGTTAGGTTACAAGCCTAGTGGTTTTCGTTAGACTTTGTATTTTTTGTTCATCATGTGAATCTTGCCTTCTAGTTCAGTACATATAAGTAGTTCACCGGAATGAGAAGTTACTAGTTAATTCCAATGAACTTCAATTTGTATTAGTATTCACAATAAACCAATTAGTTGAAATGGACGGACAGATTAGAAATCAGTCCGCAGAAAAGTCATTTTACTTGTGACTCACATAAAACCCTCCGTCCGCTGTTCAATAGTGAGCGTTTTGTGCTCCATACAAATTCGACATCATAAACTCTGAGCTGTGTACTTTCTCCATCTTAAAATACTTCGCTGATAGTATCAAAGCACAGTCACAGAATAATAGGTCTTGACGGAGGCCGCATATCAGAATATGAGGGAGCAAAAATACTGCATGTAATGGGGGATAACATACTACCTTTGGTTGTACTCACTTTGTGTTTATTCCCCACATATGAACACACGTGTCTGGTCCACCTGCGGTGAAAACATAACGCCCATCATGACTAACAGCTAGGGCGGACGCCTTTCCTGTTCCTCGAGGTCCGCTTGGATGAGCAATGATATTGGTGTATTTGAGTGGATCTCCATCCAGCGGAAGCATAATCAAGGATAAACGCTCGTCAGACATGCACAACAGAAAGTGAGCACTGTCTGATTCGCTGGAGGGGAGTGGCTTAACTCTGTCATCGAAGATGTTTGTGAATTAAAGTGGACCGTGAGCAAAAAAGTACCAAAAAGGGATAAAATAAGCCTAAGATAAAATAAAATGTTTTTATGTGAGCCTTGGTGCAATTAGGTAAAACGGCAGTAAAATTCAGTTCAAGATTTAACGGTTTTGCTGGGTAACAGGTGTTTAATTGAAGTGCATCGCCATTAACTGCACTGGGTTACTCGACTTACTAAAGAAAGCATCACCGCATGTCCAAGCAGTTTGTGTTGTTCGCGAAAAACAGAATTAAGTCAACTAGTGCTGAAATACCTGACATTAATTTATATTGTTATCGACAGGGTTGTCCCCCCGCCAAGTACTCCTAAAACCATAAGGAATCACCGAACTTTTAGGTGTGATTGTGACCCAAAAAGGTGACGATTTTTGGCCAACAATTTATATTCTATCCCCATAGGTCTCGTAGGCAGTGATAAGCCAACATTGTGTTAGCCAACCAGACTTTCTAGCTGTGTTTTTGTCAAGCTCAAACGTGTAGGATCAGTTTCAAATGGCGAGTGTTCAATACATGTAAAGGTATCTAGCGTTTTGCTAGTCCGGTGAAGATGACGGATGGCCGTCATATTACACAGAGAAAGATCAGGAAGAATCACCTTCGTCATGGACGACGCTCAAGATTAGTGACACATTCCCGGCGATTCTATCACTTACAACACGTATCTCTATTCTAAACTGCGTTCTTTTTTTCGGCTGAGAGGTTGTCGCGGTATACTAGTGTGATATGGCAGTGCACTTCCAACATAAGGAGGACAAAGATGGTAAGTATGAAGTAATTCGTAAAATAATTCACAATATTCTAAGGCTAGATAATCTTCATGTTTAGGGTGAAAACATGGTGTGTATTACAACAAATAAGCACTATCCGTATCCTAATCACGTTTGTGCCAAAAGCTCCTGCAATGACTATATAAATAAATACGTACTAGTACATGTATACTGGAGTATTTTACACGAAAATATGGGGGAAAAGTCGATGAGTCGTGAACAGGCAGCAGCGATATTAGTAAGTACAGGGTAATCCCGTTTCAAACGCATGTGGGCAGAAATTTTCCAAGTAGCCCGACCAACTCCAAATGGAATGATATTGTACATTTCATTGATAAGCTCAACATGGGGCATACTTATACTGTTCAACGACATTTCACACCATCAGTGTGCTATTTAGTCACTTGCCGCCTTGCAGATATTTCAGTGGACGACAAGGAGAAGGGAACAGCTAGGGATGAACCAAGATTATTCTCGCTTGTGGAAGATTATCCCTAAACGCGATTCGGTCCCTCTAACCATTTTCCGGAAAATCCAGCAGTGCACATCTCATTGTCAAGTTTTCCCCTTAACATAATTACATTTTTTGTTTTACACAGGCCTAATCCTTTAAAAAGGCGTGCACGTAAGCACATTTTGAAGGGCGTCTATTGGTGCTAAAGTTGTACAGCTGTTGACGGAGTGGTCCTATTAATCCTTACTTCTGACCGTTTTGAGACCTAGATCGATCATCCACAAAGTTTACCGGAATATTCAGATCAATGTACTGTTATCGTGGTAGTCCGCGCGTGACTCAAAGTGGAAGGTATCCGACACAGTTTCACTGCCTGCTAGCTAGCTGGTTTGCAGAAAGTCGTTGATTAACCGTGCAGGCTGCTGATATCCCTTAGAAGCTATATTTTATTTCACTCTTAATTTATGAGATCTCCGTTGGAAATAGCTAAGGGAATTCATCGCATGAACGTTGTGTGTATGCATCCATGTTTTCTGACGTTGACGTCCGCAAGCTGTCCTACACAATTCGTTAACAGATGACCTCATGTAATACGCATTAGAAATCATCATGTCATTTTGCTGTAATGATGCACATCGTGGTAACCTTTGTTCTCGAAGGGCTCTTTTCGTACAGCCACGTGAAGGGTGGAAGAGAGCCAGAGGCGGTCAAACAATGACTTGGCAACGAAGTATAAAAGTCATTACCAGCAAACTCAGCTGCGCTGGTTATTGCCATCTTCCTGGATGGGGACCCCGAGACGGGCCATATCAATGGTTAGAGACATTGTCAGACATGGCCCGGTCGCACCCTC